TTTTTAACTGCTAATAATTAAAATTTAACAATTCTCCAAGCACCGTAGCAACATTTTTTAAAGAAACGCTAGCCAAATCTGCTAGGATAAGTGACTAGTCACTTTCACAATTTTAAAGAAGGAATGACATTTAAAATTTTTTAAAAATTAAAAGAATAAAAGTACAAAAGGAAAAATAGCTAACAGCTTCTTTAAAGCCCATCAAAACACAAAATGCAAAGATAAAAAATCTGTTTCTAAAGAAAAAAAAGTATGTTGTTTGCAGAAAATTAATTCTACACATGATTTTGTGTGTGCTTTGTGTGAAATTTAGAAAGAGCTTGTGGTACGTTTTCAGTAAGAAGCTCTTGTGTTTGCCATCTAAGCCACACTAAGTCCTGAAATACAGCAAAAGTGAAAGCACTGCCTTGAGACAGAGCCACATTTCAGGTCCCATTTGCCCGGCCATCTACACACTCTCAGGAAGAAACATTTTCTGCAACTTCCTCAATATACCATGGAATTGCCTTTCTCTCACTGCCTGAATGGACACTGGAGCCCAGAAACACGAAGATTCTGTAGCGCTGCAAGCACACAGGGCTGGTTGGATGAAAAATTTTACTTCTACTTAAGTAAGCTTTCTTATACCCCCAGAAAGTAGGTAAAGTCCATTTTTCAAATAAGATCTGGAGATATGGCTGGGTACAGACTAAAAACTGCTGAAGTCTTTCTTCAGGGCAGTGAAGTGAGTCCTTGGCCACAGCCCTGCAGACTCGCCTGCGGGCGGGTGGCTCACAGCCAAGCCAAGAGGCTCTGCTTCCCCCTGTGCTTCAGGGGACACTGCTGTACCCAGATGGCCCCAAGGACCACTGGCTGAGCAGCTGGAGACGTGGCTCCCCATTGCCCCCCTCCCAGGGAGGCCAGCACAGGTACAGAGCAGCTCCTGTGTCCCCAGTGGGTCACATCAGACCATAGGGCAGCTCGCTGTGGTGCCCCCTCGCCTGGGCAGGTCACAGCCCTCTATGTCCTCACAGCCCCGTGGTCTGATGTGGCACATGTAACATCAAGCTGATATTAAAAGCAGACTTAAAAAGAGAAAACCTGCTTAGGGCTTGATCTGCTGTAATCAGCAGAAAGAATCCCAAGGACTTTGATGTGGACCAAATCAAGCCCCTGGAGGACATTCATGGTAAATCATTATTAATATAATGAGTGCAATTTCTGTGCAGCAGCTCATTCCTGTTTATGGATATATGAAAATTGCTAGCTTTTCACATAAAATAAAACGAGAGGGGAGACAGACCACAGTGCTAGCCAATGAGCCATAGTAGCTCCTTTTGATATGTGTACATTTAAAAAACTGGGCATTCAAATGACAGCACATTCCTCCAGTGAAGCTCTCTTAATTTAGTGGTTTGACATATCTCCAAATCTGAGCAGAAAAGAAGGCCCTTTATTCATATCAGGCAATAAAACACCTGAACACCTGTGCTAGGAAAGACCTGGCAGGTACCCTGCTCCCTTGGTACCTGGATTATTTGCACATTGTTTATTACATCCCTTGCCTTAGTTTTCATCAATTGTAATCATTTAGGAGGAAACAGTATGATTAACAGTACACAAGCAAACAGCAGGAATTAATCCTTTAAATACAAATACTTCACTGGTTATGTGATGGCTCCTTGGAAAAGCAGTGTGGCAAAAGAGCACACACAAAAATCCTTCCCAAGTTTACTCTGAAAACCACTGCTCAGTCACAATTTGCTTAGTACAATTCTCGATGCAAACACCTGAGGAGGGATCTCTCCTTGCTGTGAATGACACCACAAATATAACTCTCTGCACCCATTATGTGTCATCATTTCCAACCCATCTTTGGGGCTGGCAGGTTCCCTGCTACGTTTTAAACAGCAAAGATCAAAATTTCACTTGTCAAAGAGCAAGCTCATCTGCCTTGTCCGAGTGCCCATGGCTCCAACTCCTCTGAGGAGCTGGACCAGCAGCTCCCAGCACAGCCCCTGGGATGGGGATCAGTCTGAAAGGGCTCCTTCTGCCCTACATGTGAGGACACCCCAACCCTCCACCCCTACACTTGTTTCAGTGAGCATGATTCAGTAGGGGGAATGAAATGCCATAGCCTTGGTGTTTTATATATGAGCTATAAATTCACCCTTTTTCCAGGAGAATTTCATGATATTCATAGCTGTCAATTGTACAAAGTGAGGATGTGAAAAACACAGTGCTGCCAGCCTTTCCTCTTCTGCCCTAAGGGTGTGTGGGGTTATCACACATACTCTTTCCTTTGTGTTTCATGCTTAACCTTCCCATGTTTTCCTTCCTTATTTCCAGTGAGATAATGTAAGCAGTTAAGCAGTATTCTGTTTTCTTTTCTTGTGGCAATATCATCAAAGTAATGTCACTGACTCATTTCTCCAGATTCTCACCAAAATTCCCACCATTTATAAAGTAAGTTCAGTTCCTCAGAGCGTTCCTAAGCCTTGGTTTTACAGCTCCATCAGATGGTGTAAACTTCAAAGCAAAAGCCTATATTAAAATACAACTACTAGTTCAGGAGCACAAAGAGGGTTTGATCACCTCCAGAACATTAAGCTACAAAAGCAGTATCTGCACCAACCATTAGAGGTACATTTGCAGCAGCATTTACAGTTTCTCATCACATGGCACACACATTGTTTAAAATAAATGTTCAAAAATCAGCAGAGCTAATTCATGCCAGTCTGTGACATCTCTAAAAGTTACCTTTTCCCTTTGCTGCCTGTCATTTTCCCCACCTTCCTTGTTTTTCCTGCCATTCTACAAGCACCCCACTCTGAATTTCTTCTTGAAATAGTTGAATGCTCAATCTTTTAAAATGTATTTTCAGTGGTTTCACTTCAAAATACAAAGAAGGAAAACAGTGCGTAGGTTCAGGTTTTGATACCAGTTATTTCATGCCAGTAGGAAAGCAAGTTCAGAACTGAGCAGTCAAATTCATCAAGCAGAACCCCTTGATGGAGGCTGATTTGCCCACATAAGATAATTGCACAGTTAAAGACACAGAAAGGTTTATGTAGATTTAACCCTAAGTAGCAGTTGAACAACTGGTTCACTAAAATAATACTAAATCTTCATTACTCAACAAAAATATAACCAACAGTTGAGGAATTTAGAGCAGGCAGCTTACACACCAGAAACTAATGAGATAATCATGCCAAGGCAAACTGGTTCAAAAGTCTTACAGATTTCTAACTGATTTATACACACATTTTGTGTCCTCCTTAGCTCCAATATTTGCATTAGTAAATTCCCTGGCACAAAGTAAACACACATTTTTGAGTCACCACTGAAATAAAGACTAAAACTGTGCAGCTAAGTATTGCATTTTCATTCAGCCAACATCAGTCAAAACTGCTCATGTAATTATTATGAATTATTATAAGAAGAAAAATTTTGAGTCAGAAAAATTATAAGCAGAAAAATCCTGCATAAAAACTGAAAAATTACAATCCTAATTTATATTATTAAAGCTGACATTTGCAGCAATTGTGCAATGCACAAAACTTCAGAATTGAAACACTATGTAATTAAAATCTGTAATTGCAAAAACCAGGCTGCCTAGACTATAATTTAACCAGGTTCTCTTTATTTGATCATCTGAATCTAAAGGTTAATGCAGTGGCCTAGGAAGCCAGTGTTCCCATTTTAATTGTGCTGGCATTTTGACCAAACACCACTTTTAGGGAGATATGGGAGGAAAAAATCAAAGCTGTCTTTGCAAGCCACTGCTGCCTTCATAAAACGTTCATAGTGAGAAACACAAACCCAAAATCTGCTGACTTTATTAAAATATTAACAAGGTATAGTTAAAACTTTTGTACACTTATGCAAATCAGGTCGCTAGAACAAGGGAAAGGCGGGATCCCCTGGGAGAAAAAAAATATAAAATCAACAAAGTGAAAAGATCAGCCATCCTTCCACAGCATGACAGCACAACACAAGAGGCAGCAGCTTGGGAATTCAGCAAGATAAATAAAAACCCTCCAAAGTTTAAGTAAATCGTGGTTTATAAAGCTAATACATTTAAATGAGGCATATGGTACCACTCTATAAAAAGACTGCCTTTCCCAGGGGATGGGAGGGGTGCTTTTGGTGACCATGCTGCACAGGTAGATAGGTGTGAGGCCAGCCAGGGTGGGCACCTCCCCACGAGCTCTGTGCCAGGGCAGCCCTGGGCTCCACTGCCCATGAGGAGCCCTACACACACCCTGGAGCTTCAGTGGAGCCTGTGTGGGCTCAGCACCAGGGCTGTTGGTGGGGTTTAACCCCAGCCTCCCTGCTCCAAGGAGGCCTCTGGGGCCAGGGCTCCAAGCGTGGCTGCAGCAGCGTGCCCAGGTCAGGGTCCAGCCCCGGCAGAAGGATTTGTGCCCCCAGGAATGGGTGTGAGCCAAGCACTGGCTCTGTGGAGGCTACAGCTGTGTGGCTGCAGCCCCCAGGGCTGCCAGGGAGAGTGTGAGGCCTGGTGTGCAGAGGCACAGCTTGGAAATGTGCTGCTGCCTGAGAGGAGCCTGCCTCAGCATCATGTCGAGCTGCACCCATTCTTTCTCATACCTCAGCAGGGAAAATTCCTTTACTTATGATTTAGCAGCAGGGAAGGGGATGGGGCAGCTACCATTTGCTTAGCCTTTGTATGTTAATCAGTCCCTAAATTATTAATGGAGAAAAAGAAATTATTTACAAGGTGTTTGACGTAGACATGTAAGGATGTAGCAACACTACTGTCAAGAGAAATACTCATAAATCATGATATCTGTCTTGTCTTATTTATTTATTTATTCCAGCCATGCTCAGAGACCTTTTCCTCCTCCAGGCACCCAGAGAGGCAGAAGGAGACTGAGAGACTGTTTAAGGGCAGAAGAGACCATACCAAGGTTAGGCACCTTTTTTAAATGCTGCACAAGGGTGACAGTTGCACAGAGAAATCAACAGCTTTAGCTTTGTTTTTATTCCTGTTGTAAACATACCTGAAGCTCTGTTTGAAAGAAGAACTTCTGTGGGCACTGGGAACAGTCATAAATTTTGTCTTCCTGCCCGTGCACTGCAAAGATGTGCTGCTGCAGTTTGTTTGCCTGTACAAAGACTGAAACAACACAGTACAGTTAGTTGAGATTGCTTCCTATAAGGTACCTCGTCTCAAACTGCACTTCAGAGTCCCTGCAACTGTAAAAGGTCCAAGGATATCTGCCAGAGAAGTGCTGATACACTTGGTTCAGCAGAATTTCCTTACAAGTAGTCAATTTGCAGTCTCCAGGCTGACAGTCAGCTTACTTCTAACAGACTTTACATCCTGTATGGATTTTTGATATTTCACATAAAGCTAACACTGTCCACAGGTAACTGGAAGAACTCAGCCATCAGACCAAAGAGAGGACGTCACTGCTCCCATGGGGAGCCCTGGGCCCATGGCAGGTGCAGCAGATGCATTTTTAATGCAGGACAACTGGGCCAGGAGAAGCCTTGATGGCTGGTCTGGAAGACATGTGGCCCAAAACAGCATTTCTGGCAGAAATGTGAATCTGAAAGGGCAGGCTTGCCACAATTTTTAGATCTTTTAAATAGGTTGTCCATTCAGTATAAAAGAAAAATATTATTGTTTAACATCACAAATATCACAGCATCTGCATTATGATTCTGGATTGACAATTATTGTGACTTTACTGAGGGAAATTTTGAAGTGGAACATATTGAACCACAGCTTTAGCTGGTTAAAAAATATATCTATATCTGATTTAATATTTTCTCACTTTACATGAATGGTCACCTCTATGTGAAAATGGCTTCTTCAGCAGAATTTAACAAATGCATCCAAAATTTTTTACAGCACATTTCAGAAAGGATATATTAACTCCAAGCTCACACAAAAATCAGTTTCTCAAATGGTGGGTCAAACCGTAAAGAATGTAGGTTCACCTTATTCCCACCAAAGTTAAAGGAATAGCAGGTGCAGCCGTGCCCCTTTACTGACAACAGGCCCACAGTGACACCTACACGATCCTTGTCTCTCACACAGATTGGAAATGCAGATGTTAACTACTGTGTTGAAGAGAGTATAAAAGGCAGCCTTTAGCATGCTCCCTGCAGATCCCGGAAAAGCAAGAATCACCCATGATCATTTGCACTGATGAGACAGCTTAAATGATCTACAGAGAAGGAATACCTAGCAGGCTCTCACACAGGAGTTAGAAATGTGCCACTGTAAGAAAACTGGGTTTTAAAAAAAACCTGAGAGAGCAGCTGGTAAAACCATAGAGTTGTACAATTTGGTCTTATCAAACCTTTACTCCCCTTTACTCAGCACTGTAAGCAGAGCATGAACCACCTGGCCTTTAAAGAGTCCTTGCTCAGGTGAATTAGGGCTTGCAAGAGCAGGTCCATCCCTTGCAAGTCCTGCACTTGCAAACACATAGCACCTTTGAGCCACAAGGCAAAACATAAATATGAGAGACATGAGGGCCACGCAGAGCCTGCTGCATGTGGCAGTGCTGCTCGGTGTCAAACGCCACAGAGCTGCTCGGCAGAGCGAGCCCCAGCTTCAGACAGAGATATTTGAACATTTCCAAGCACAGTATTTCTTTTTCCCAGGGAAAGGAATACAGTATTTTACAAATCCCCCGAGTGTCATTTCTGGATCTAGCCATGCACGCTGAGGCTTGTCTTGGCCTCCCTGTCTTACCTGTGAAACAAACAGGGCATTTGAATGTGCCTCCCATCCCCTCAAAGCTGTGCTCAATCAGGTGACACAGGAGCTTTGCCGGAGAGTCAAACATCTGGTTACACAGCTTGCACTCATGATTGATGCCTTCCTCTGCAAGGTTCAAATGATACAACTTGTTAGTGACACAGCAGATTAGCGTCGGGGAGGCAGCAGCAGCCGGCGGGGAAGGCCTGTGCTGGCACACAGGGCCCCCAGGACCCCCAGGACCCCCAGCCCCAGAGCAGGAGGAGCTGCTGGCACTCAGGGTGCAGCCCCCACTTTCTGGCTGCAGGGCTCCATCCAACCCAGGCGGGGCTCCCAACAGCACAGCACTGCCCTGCCAGAAAGGGAGAGCAGCGCTGCTCTGGCTGCAGGGGATTAAAGAGCCAAACTGCATTTAAAAGTACTTTAATAGTGTGAATTCAGCAACCAATGCTGGCAGAGGGCTGAAGGGATGTCTTCACCTCAGAGTGCACTGCAAACATACACGAGAGGAAGGAACTGTTGGAGAATAGGAGGAGCTGAGAGCAGAGTGTCAGTGTAAATGTTTTTTGTATACCTTGGCTTTTTACAAGGTGTAGAGAGACCACTGAAGGTATTTAAATGTAATTTGATAGAGGAATTTCCTTGTCATATATCTTAAGTATTGAATATACAGGGCCTATTTTGGATGCCTCTATATTCTAATAATTATTACTCTTGGTTCAAGCCTACCACTTTTGCAAGATATGCTTCTCTCTTTACTGAAGTTTGTGGTTCTGGGTGCAGTTGAGCTTTTTTTTTGAGGTACTTAAGTCATATTAAAGCAATTTTCACGCATAAAACTAAACAATGCTTTGGTTTTCTTCAAGGGAGGGAGGGAGTTGCAGAATTTTAGAAAACATAGCATATGTTCTATAAAAATTAAAAACTACCTAAAATGTTTTAATACTGTGGCTGGTTTCTGCAAATAACTCCCTGAAAATGTGTCTTTCCTTCACTGTGGCAGCATATGAACTTTTCATGAAAACATATTTTAAAAACTAAATAAATTCTTTCTTTTATTCTAAACTCGTCTTTATTTTTATATCCTCAAATATCAATAACTATTAATTTTTATCTCCAAGATTGCTAAGAAATTACTGTATTTCCCCATGAACTAATCCTTGCCAAATACATTTGGCTCTTAGGAATAATGTGAGCCCTCAGAAGCATGGTCTTTACTTACAGTTGCTTCAAATTAGCCTTTGCTATCTTTAAAGGGGCTAAAGGGAAGGAAAGTAATGCTTGCTATGGAGCCTTGGTACTATCAGGATGCCAAGGCCCCTGTACAAGGCTTGGACAGTGGAGAGCTGCCTGTGCTGCCTCTGAACCCGCGTGGCAGTGGGTGCCCACAGTGAGTGCTGCACCAGAGCTGCCCGGGGAGTGGGGAGGCAGCGTGGGGACAAGTAAACAGGTGGGTTGGGAAGGAGATAAAAAGAGAAAAGGAAAGAGACAGGAACAGAAAGATGAAAGGGCTGGTAGCTCCGTGGCAGCAGCTCTACGAATTCCCTTGGGAGCCACCAGCAGGGACTGGGATGTTTCTAGGACGCGGCGAGGTTTGCGGTGCTCTGCTCGCGCAGCCCCCGCGGGCGGGCGTGCTGCCCTCTCCAGTGTGTGGGTTTCCAAACCAGTCCCTCTCCCTCACTGTGGCCTAAGGCTGGATTCTCCCATCAGACCCTTGCCTGAAAAGTTCTGGCTTTGTGTGAATTTTGCAACCTGCTCCAGAGGGAAGAAGAGATGGGGAAGGGACATGAGCCTCACGCTGAGCATGCCCAGCCACACCGCTGTGTACAGCAACCAAATGCTGCAATAAACCCGCAGAGGACAAAGCAGGAACTGGGGGGAATGGAACAAATGCCTTCTACGAATATATCAGAGAAATCATGTTTGACATTAATTTTCTACCCTCTACATACTGGGTATTTGGATAACAGTGATTCATGTACAGCCTATGGTCCTGCGTGAGCACATGTTTTCATAAATACAGATAGACACATACTGATGGCTAGACTGCTGCTCCTTTTCCAGCCTAAATATCTATAATTTGAGCAAAACTAAAAAAAAAACAAAAAAGGAAAAACAAACAATGCTCAGCATTTCAGTTAAAGAATATTCTTTCAAGCTTGGTATGTTTAATTAGGTAACAGAGATTGTGTATTTTCTTGGCTGATCCCTGCAGTATTTTAAATAGTTAAACCCATAACAAACAAACTAAAACTAGAATGAAAAATAATAAAACATAATGGGTTCCTGCAGATCTGGAAATTTATCCCACTCGAGGCAAGACCTTTTGATTTGCAAATCCACTTCTGAATTATAAGGCCTTCTCCTCACCGGTGGGGGTTTTTATTCCACTCCCACAGGAGTCCATTATGTATTTCTTGTGTCTATAAAACCATCCAGAAAGAAAAAAAGAGGGAAAAAGTACCATGGTTAGCATGACAAACGTTTCTCTTTTCATGCATGTGTATTCAAAATATGAAAATGCCCAAAGATATAGATAGAATTGCTGCTATAATCACTCTCTCCTCTATGGCATTTTACAGCATATTATTTTACACAGAAACACAGCACATGTATAGGGATACTCAGTCACCTTTGGAGAATAGGAGAATAACTTCCTTGAATTATATAAGATCACCTAGGTACACACAAGGAGGCTTTCTGACAATGTGGCGTGACAGTCGAATGTGTGGTGCTGGGCACTAGCAACAGCAAACATATCATCATTTCCCTCATTCTTATTCGCCTTTTTTGTTCTAGCATGACAAGCATCTATGAGAGACCTACATAACTCAAGTGAATTATGCAGCCCCTCTCATTTGTGAAATAAAATGCAGATTTTTACAGTTTGTTATGCCAGATCTTCTCCCATTTCTTCATAAGTGTATCTGTGGAGGGATCAGATGATTACAGGACTAAACAAGCAATGCACAGCAAACAAGAATCTTGGGTTTCTTGCCTTTTTTTCCTGAGCTCAAAATAATAAGCATTAATTTTACACTTCATTTCTCAAAAAAATAATAGGATGTGCTCTTGTTTAAAACAAGCAGGCCTGCTGGATTCTGTCAGGCTGAAACTATGTCAGGCCAAAAGAGGAACAGAGCGCTTTGTGTAAAAGTATCATGGGGAGATGATAGTATCCTGTAATGTTTTCAGTACCTACTTTTGTCTCCAAAAGCATTTGATCCCTGGCAGACACATACTTATTTCCATACTGGTCTTGAGGGAAGCCAGTAGGAATGAGAGCTGATTATCTGAATCCTGAAGGTGAAACCTGGGTGGTGCCCGCTGATGTCAAAGGCAGGCATTTGTATAAATTTGGAGGTACATAATTTACTGCCTGTTAGTGAGGATTAGTGGGCTGCGCAGAGGCAGCTGAACCGTGGTGGCAGAGCGCGTCACTCATTGTTCCCAAGTCCGGGTGCCTTTGCAGGATAGTTTTAAATATGTTGACAGGGTGTTTAGTAGCACCTACATTGCCATCCTGCCCATTTTAGAGTGGGAATATGCTTCTCCATAAAGCTATTTCTGCTGCAGCAATGTGCATTTAATCCATATTACAATGAGTCTCTAAGCCTCTAAGAGAACCGACACCAGCAGCCTCCTGGCGAGGATGCAGTATAATTAATAATGCTGTATTAAACCCATTTACTGTATCAGCTGCATTTCTAATTATAACTATATTCATGGCAATGTGAAAGTACATGTTAACACTGTCGTGTACTGACATGTTATACCAACAACAAGTAGAAGATCTGAACACCAAAAATCAAGATGACATTGTCTTTATTATTAGTTAAAACTTCTCTCTTCTACTCAATTTCATAAAGCAAAAATTTTCCCTTATGGAATAACTGCATAGTCCCAATTTGAGAGATCATGTAAGACAATCTGATGCTCATTGCTGACAACAACATGTACATCCCACACTATAGCTTTCCAGACCAGTATATTTCTACTCTACTGCAGCAAATTAAGCCAATAAAAGGGAATTTCTTCCCTGTACTCAGATGTTCACATCCATGAGTTAACTGTGCTTTTAATGAACTTTGAAATACTGTGATTCAGTGTAACAAAGCATTAATATATTGTGTTCACAGAGAACCTTCTTCTGTCCATTAGATAATAAATTTGGTAGAATTAAATGGGCCGTGTGCTCTAATTATGGTAGAAATAAATAGAAATTGGAATGAACACAGGGACATAAAATGAAAACTGCATGGAGCTATTCTGTTTATGCAATTCATTTCCCAGTAAATAAGAAATCAAAGGGAAAAATTTATAATGTAAGAAAAGGAGCTTCCCCAGCAATTTTTTCCATGTGGCTGTGAAGGAGCAAGGGGCTGGAACCAGGGCAGGATAGCAGTGATGGACACTCCCCTTAAACACAAAGCCTGCAGAGAACCACTTTGATCCCCCATCTGCTTTGCACCACTCCACCACTGGTTTTCATTAAAAACAACCCAAGGATGGAAGTAAAACCAAGGTCTGAGGACACACTGCACGTGCTCCAAGGGGATGGCAATTTGCAGACGGTCACATTGGATGAAGACGATGTCTGCCGTACAGCCGGCGTTTCCTCCTCGCCATCGCTGCCTAAACCCATGACCTGCTGCACAAACCATTTGGACCACACCGCTCCAGTGCATTTCAGTAATTAATCCCGGAGGGCGCGGCTGAGCCCCTCCCTTGCCGGCGGGCAGCGCAGGCCAAGGAGACGGCGCGCTCCGGCCCGGCGCGGGCCAGCGGCACCGAGGCGCTCCGCGGCACCGCCATTAGGCAGCCCGGGCGGTGAAAGGCAGCGGATTGATGGCGTGGCAACAGAAATGTCACCTGGGGAGCTGGGTGCCGTCCTCCCAGGGATGCTGGAGGTCAGTTACTATGGCAACACCGAATGAGCTCAACCTTGTAACTGACCCTTATCTTTTTTTGATCTGTGGCCCCCTTGGGACCTTGGCTGGAAATCAACTGGAAAATAATCTGGTCACATATCAGAAAGAAAACTATTTATACTTATTTATTTATCCAGGTAGAGCTCGTATCTCCCTTTGACGACTCTGCCACACTAAAGACACCCATCATGTTCC